AGCAGGAGCAGGCAGCAGGAACAGGCAGCAGCGGGAACAGGCAGCAGCGGGATCAGGCATCAGTAGGAACGGCAGCAGGGACCGCAGCAGCGGCGGTCAGAGAACCATGCCCACGGTTGTTTAAGAGCCTGAGGAAATAAATCAACCCGAATCCGAAACATTCCCATGCGAGAAACAGATGTCCCCTGGAGCCATCTTGCTGCTTTGGTTATGGTAGAACGCATGAACGATCACTGATCCATGCGTTCATTAGCTCCAGCTCCACTTCAAACCCATTGCAGATTCACATTGGGCCCCTTTTCTTTCTGCTGCACTTTCGAAATGCAACAACTGCAGTTTAGTTACCCAATTTAATACTAGTGACCTAGCTATTTAAATGCATGGCCCCTCCTTCCTCCTGCAGATAGACGAATTTAAATACATTCATTTAACAATAGTGACTTGCAGACTTCAGAAGACCGGGAAGTGGGCGTCTCCGGCTTTTAACTTGCTGTCCTGGTGGTTATTGGTTGACTGGGTGTGGGCGTTGCTGGTATTGATGAGTCGAGGAAGAGCAGCCTGTGGCCTGGCAGCAGCAGCCGGGTCTACCACGGTGAACTTTCGCGAAAGCTCCATTTGTGTGGGGTTAATCAGAGGGATGTATTTGGTGGTAGAGGGCGGCAGCAGACAGAGAGTTGCTTGTGTTGGTTTATTGTTGACATTACGTTATTGTAAATGTTTTAGTAATATTAAAATAGTTTATGAAGGGTTTCCAGGTTTCTGTGAGGGTCTGTAATTCTCCATCATGATGAGCAGTAGAGAGTGAAGATGAAATGTGCTGAGAGAGAGAGTTAGTCCAGTGGTTGGTATTTATGGAGTTTTTAGATAGCCAGTTTTGTAGGATTGTTTTCTTGGCGATAGTCAGAGATGTCAGTAGGCTGTTCTTGTGTTTTGGTGGGATTTGAAGTGTTGTGGTCAGGCCAAGTATGCAGAGCGTGGGGAGGGGGGGGACACTGCAGCCCAGGATGTCTGAGAGTTTGTGGGTTACAGTTTTCCAGAATGTCTGTACAGGGGTGCATTCCCAGAGTGCATGAAGGTGTGTGTCAGTGACTCCCAGGGTGCATTGTGTGCAAATGGCTGTGTTTAAGAATCCCATTTTATATTTTTTATATTGTGTAATGTGTGTTCTGTGAATAATTTTATACTGAATTAGTTGTAGATTAGTGTTGGGTGTCATGGAGAAGGTATTGTTGCATATTTCTGTCCAGTTTTCTTGTGTGAGAGATGTGTTCTCTTTGACTCTTTGAATGAGTCGTCACACCACTTGTATCATGTCCTCAACAAAGGACCATGCTCGTTTTCATCACCGCTCAGAAGACTAACAATAACAGAGTCATTTGCAAATTTAAGAATGTGATGATTTTTGTGGCGGCTGCGACAGTCATTTGTGTATAAGATGTACAGCAGTGGAGACAGTACACAGCCCTGGGGTGAACCAGTGGAGGAGTACAAGACATTGGACAAACAACCATTGACCTTCACTCTTTGTGATAGGCCTGTTAAGAAGTCTAAAATCCAACCAACAATATTTGAACTCAAATTAAAATCATTAACAAGCTTATCAATTAAGATGTGAGGTCAGATGGTATTAAAAGCGGATGAAAAATCTAAAAATAAGAGCCGAGCATGTGCCTTTGAGTTTTCCACGTGTTTGAGGACAAGTTCAAAAGGGTGGCCGTGGCATCCTCCACCCCTCTACCGGGTCGAGCAGGTCTTCAACCTTTCATCAATCTCTCAAAGGACTTCATCACTAAAGCACTAAGAGCCACAGGTCTAAAATCATGTGAGACCTTGGGGTGTTTAGTTTTAGCCACAGGGATTATTGTGCTCTGTTTCCATAAATCTGGCACTGAAATTGACTGAAATGTATTTATTTAAATATATAAAAAACAAAAACTACTGGATTTCATGAATAAATTTGGCTTCATTCAAACCTAAAGACTTGACTCCACATTAAGTTTGGACCGATACTTTTGATTGATAAAAGGAATAGTTTGGTGTTTCTGAGATGGATTGCTATATATTTTGGCGGTGTCTTACTCCTTTATAGTCTTTAGGGCTTTTAATGGGATGACATCTGAGAGAAAAAGTTTGGGGTAGAAGTTATGCAGTGAGTTAGAAGGACCGGGGAATGAAGATTGGGGAAATTCAAGATTAGTAAGTCCTCTGTGTTACTTAACTTGTGATAAAAGCCAAGCAGTGTGTGCAATTTTTGCTTTTTGTTCTATCTACGTGCAGATCCTCAACCAGTGTTTTCCAAAGTTCCTTTTGCAAACCTTACACAAATACATTCTGATTCTTGAACACTTTTGAGTTTGGTTTTATTCAGTGGGATACAGATTTTATTATTTGCTCTCCATTAACTGGGACTTATATTTACTCAACAAAGACAATATTTGGACTACAGCCCTACACTGTTTTATTATGCAGCCCTTTTACAAAGCTACTACACAGCCTTTACCATTGTAGTGTTCTAGAGCAAGTAAGTAAGTAAAGACTCATGAACACACATCAAATGGGCCGATGTACGGTGAGGCAAGAAAGCCTGTCTAAACAAAAAGGACTGAAGTTAGGACTTAAAATTGTCAACTGACTCTGACATGCCCCATCAGACTTCCAATGAGTACAGAACAGATATATGTATGTATAGATAGACATAGATAGATAGATAGATATGTAGATATTGTAGGATATAGTGGTCGTGTGGAAGTGCACTAATGGACCAGCCCAAACCACACATTATCACCTGTCAAATGATTAATTGCTTTTATCCCCAACTATCCCTTGTACAATACCGCAGCTTCATACAAGAAAGTATATTGGGTAAAGTCCCTTTGGAGACCGCTAGATAGAACGCTGAAGCTTGTATAGGGAGTGAAAATGATAAAAGACTGAAGAGAAGTGGAAAAAAAATGGCATGGATCTATGAATACGGTGCTGCCACTCCTCGCTCAGCATGAGGGAGCGCGGCGAGCCCTTTTTTCAGATTGAACTCACTGCCTAAATATTTCAGCGAGGTGCTCTTGTGGCTCGTGCTGCAGTGTGCGCTCAGGCCATCCTTCTCCTCTGCAGTGGTCCCGACGCTGCAGCTGATGACAGGCTGGGGCGCCACGGGAAACTACGCCAGCAGAAAGACAATGACTCTTGCCTCTTTAAGGTCACATTGTCACGATGTCAAAATGTACGGTTATTGTAGTAGAAGTAGGAGTAGTTTGTTTCTTAGGTCATTATGTACATTTGAACTTGAAAAAAAAGAACTAAGATGCGTGTGCTAAGAATTGTAATGCTTAATAATGCCTGACTGAAAGAGGTTTAGGCTGAAGTCTAGACTTACCAAAAAGAGATTACGATAATCAAGTTAAGTTTCATTAGTTTGCCTCAACAGAAAGAGTCTAGATGTAAAATCAGACACAACATTCTGTCTGTGTCAACATCCATCCAGCCATCCATCCATTTTCTTCCCCTGAATCCGTTTCTTGGTCGGGAGGTGGCAGTCAGAGATGCCACCCAATTCACAGAGCACCAGCCCCTAACTGCTCCTTCAGTGAGAGCATAGCCTTGATCTTTCAGTAGGAGCTTCAGGCAAAGTGGGGTAAAGTGTCTTCCCCAAGGACACAACGACAGCAGACATCAGTGGGAGCAGGTGGAGGAAGTACCATGATGCGATCGAACCCACAACCTTCAGGCTCAAAGTGTGGGTCAACACTGTGTCCAAGGCGCTATTCAGAGCCGTTCTAGTGTTGAGAGTTCTATACTACATTTCAAAGTGAGGGTCGTTCTCTCTCCCTCGGAAAGCTGCCAGCAGAAAGACACTGACTTTTCCCTCTTTAAGTTCTCATTGTCACGATATCAAAATGTCCTACTGTGAGAAAACACATTACAATTATCAAGTTAAGTCATTATTTTGTCTCAGCAGAAAGAGTCTGGATGGAAAATGTTGTGAGCAAATCAGACACAACATGATATATGTGTCTTACTACAAAACATTTCTTGTATATTGTAAGAAAATGTGTCAGACACTATTTGATCATTCGAGCTGAGAGCTGATTGGCTGTTTCCAAGCAACTGGATCCCTATAACAAGTTTATTTTTATATTTTGGACGTAGCATGTTAACCACTACATTGAGGCGTTATTCAGTGCCAAAGATGGTTCTAGTGTTGCGTGTTCTAGACTATATTTCAAAGTGAGGGTGGTGCTCTCTTCCATGTCACGTCCTCTGATCGGGAGGCAGTGGATGAAGATCTTGGGACGGATACTTCCATCTCCCTTGCCTCAAAGTCACAGGGGTTTTTGGCAGACCCGGGAGTGGATGAGCTCAGTGTCACAGCATATCTAACGCCCTGAGGAACACCTGCAAGATCTACCTCTACTACTAGCCCCTCCTAAAAAATCATGAGACATGCGAACAAATCTTACTTTTTTCTTTCAAAAATCTAATTATTTGGCAGCTTTGCATAGGCATTTTAGATGGAATGAAAATACATGCTTGAGTTTACAGGAAGTATTGTAAGTACACGAAACAATTGCAGAATGAGACCTGCATTCCTAATCATTTTCAGTTAATTTCATAATTTTCTGCACCTTTTAATGTGGCGTGATATTGAAAACAAAAACCCTTTTGTGGATAATTGTGTGGAAACAGGGAGAGGTATGACAAAAGTACAATAATCCACAGAATAATGACACCATTGAATAAGACTAGAAGCACAGAGACAGGAGTAGACAAGACAATACAAAGAAACTTGGAATCTATTTTTTTCACTCTCTTGCGACTTCCTGCTGTGCTCCAAAATTACATCGAGCCAGACAGAAGTGACTATAGGCAGCAGCAGCAGCAGCAGCAGCAGCAGCAGCAGCAGCAGCAGCAGCAGCAGCAGCAGCAGCAGCAGCAGCAGCAGCAGCAGCAGCAGCAGCAGCATCAGCAGCAGCGGTGGAATAACAGATGTTTCTGTTCCTAAGATGCGTACACTCGCGCTGAGGTGATCTACGTCTGGACCAGAGAGCCGGCGCAGTCTGTGGTGGTGGCTGAAGATGGATCCAGGTTGAACCAGTACGATCTGATGGGACAAAGTGTGGACTCTGGTGTGGTCCAGTCCAGCACAGGTGAGGACTGGTCATGGGCTTATTATTGGTCAAATTGGATACAAAATGAATGGTTAACAGAACAGTAAAAATGATTGTTGTTGAATGTACATACTGTAGATCAAGAACAGTTTTTTCAGATGAGAGTTTTTTACAAAATTGACTCTGTTTTTGAGACGACAAGCATTGTCATTATTACAATTTTACGGCTGTTTTCAATGTTGAAAAGCACTTACTTTTCTTTTTCTTTTCTTTTTTTGTAAATAATTGCCATTTTGAATATGTGTCTTGAGTTTGTAGCATGTCTGAATGGAAATGCAATCTCAACATATTTTGAACGCAACATTTTTACTGAGGAAATCCCACTAATGGGATGAATACCTGTTTAAAGTCATTTAGTTTATAGCCTTACAAATGTCAGGTGATGTCCCAGATACAGATTTCCCTATGGGGCAGTGTTTCGCTGCGCTTTGGCCCACTAATACACTACAAAGTCAGTTTGAAGCAGGTGACCTGTTTTCAACAGGACACCCTAAGATGGCTGAATTGAATTTTACGTTAGTTGGATTTTATATCAAACCTGCTGAACAAAAAAATCCCATATCTTTATACTAGTACTCTAACACTTTTATGGCCAACCCCCTTTCAGTCATTCTTCATAGTAATACACAGAATACAATGCAGTGAACATGCAGAATGTATTTATGATATGCTGCAGTGTATAGAGTAATATTTAATACCTACCAATTCAAGTCCAATTTAATCATAGATTAAATTGATTTAGCTAACATTTGTCTTAATCACATCAGTTGAGAATTTGAAAGCATAAATTTCAGTTATTCATAAATGTATATCTTTCATCCTTTGACAACCTTTGTTACACAATGTTTATAGACTTTCTGTAAATTATGTATTGTAATTGGATATTTGGTTTGTGACATGAAATAGTAATAAAACAAAAAACACTACAGAAGAGATACATACAAAAAAACTGTTTCATTGCTGTACACTTTTGAAAAAATATATGATTAAATGACTCATTTTTCCCCTTCTGATCTCAGGAGAGTATGTGGTGATGACAACCCACTTCCACCTGAAGAGGAAAATTGGCTACTTTGTGATCCAGACGTACCTGCCCTGCATCATGACGGTGATCCTGTCCCAAGTGTCGTTCTGGCTCAACAGAGAGTCAGTTCCTGCCAGGACTGTGTTCGGTGAGTGCTGTTCTCTGCTGCCTTGAAGCAGGTGTGACGCAGGCCAAACGCTGGTCCCACACCGCCAGGCCACACATTAGATATATCATTTTTGTTCTCAATGTAGCACTGCTTTTTGAAATTGGCTTTGTTCGTGGTGTAACTCAACAGCTTCAACTTGTTTTCCCCTTGCTGACTGTGAAAAGAGAAGGGAGTGTTAAATCTTGTTTTATTTTTTTCTTGGTCCCATACTGGGTAGTAGTTATTGATTAGTGGTATTGCTGAGGGTATGAGAACATATATTTACAAAAACTTCCAAAGTACTTACGATTTTCCATACCTTTATTTTGTATTATTTTGTATGCACAATGGTGATACACTATTACTGTAGCCACAGCTCTTCTGGCGCACACTGACAGATTTTAGTACAACCAGCATGTGCCAAGTCATTCTAGGCAATGTGAGTGAAGTGTCTTGCCTAAGGACACAGCTAAAGTTTGGCAATTTACAGCTGCTGCCGTCCCACTCTGGCGCCTGGTGTTCCCAGAGGTCTCCCGTCAAAGTACTAACCAATAGTTAGTATTGGCGTCACGGTGGCTGAGGGGATAGCACTTACGCTTCTCAGCAAAAAGATCCTGAGTTTCGAATCCCGGTCTTTCTGAGTGGAGTTTGCATGTTCTCCCCGTGTCTGCGTAGGTCTCCTCTGGGTGCTATGGTTTCCCCTACCATTAATGACATGCACAATAGTTAAAATCCTCCAGCTCCGGTAGTCATGACCAAGCCGAGCATCAACGCCTGCACTGCTCCTGACGTAAGCCTTAGTAGCATCAGGATAGGTCAAATTTTCCTTGGCCTTGCCCTGCTTAGCTTTAGGAGTCTGGCCAGATGCAGGTGGTGCCACATGTTAGAGCAGGAAAGCATTATACTTAATAATTTCCTTATTCACCCATACGCCTAATGCCATCTTACTAGAATAACAATCTCCAACCCCAGACCATTTGAACAACACGTAATGACGCTGTATTTCCTAAGACTGAGAATTTGTTTTGCTAAAAAGGTTGAGAATGACCTAATTATGTCCAAGCCTCATTTACTCGCCACGTTCACTTACAGTAAATACAATGGATGAAATGTGTCACCCTAAAGACACAAACTACAAAGGTCTGAGAAAGAGTCAGACTGCCAACCTTCACAAAAGACAGCTTTGTAACCACTGTGCTACCGTACAGTCAGCAATCCATCAAGATGACTCATATCGGCTGTTCGATTTAGTGCGCATTTGGGATTTAGTCCAAACTACACTTTCTTCTCCAATGACCTGCTGTTCTGATGTAAAATTTGGAAACTATGATGATAGCGTCACTACCAGAATCAATACTTCTCAATTAGCATATAGCGCTAAAATCATATTGGCTATTATTAGATCCCATTCTGTCTGGGCTGTGCAGAGTAGACAGACAAACACATGAATCGCACAGAGACAGCGGCCTTGAGGAATAGCCACTTAATGACTAATAATGTGATGGGACTTTTGACATTAGTACAATTATATAATCAGGGAAATGTTAGCGTTGCGTAGACACAGCATTTTCTAGCCTATGTTGATTCGAATTCTGCACAATCACATCATCAGGAAGTGGTAATGTAATATTATTTGGGTTTGCATATGCAGGAGGGTTTAAGGACAAGGTGTGATCGGGGACATACTGGACATTGATTTTCTTATGGGCCAATGAGATCAATGCTGTGAGATCAATAAAATGTATCTTATCTTAAGTTCAGATTTTCTTATTTGAGGTGTGATGCCCTTGAAGATGTGATTTTGGGCTGTACAAAATATGTTTTGACCATGTATGTAGGGAATATTTTCATTATCATAAAACACTCGTATGATTTGTCAATATTCTTTATCCAGCTGTGTTTTTTAATGTTTGCCACAACAGAAATATATATTTTTTTTGCATATGTGTAAGGAAGATCCCTGTGAGTCATACTTTGACTTTTGGGACTGAGAGCTGATTGGCTGATCAGTAAGGACGGTCCTCTCTTTCTTCTTTTTAGTGACATGTGAGAAAAATGCAAAGATGTGAAAACTATTTACAAAACTAAATCCAATTATTTAGTAGTTACATTATATGACATTGTTCCATTTTGTTTTATTTGAAATGGGAACCCCAGCTTTAATTCAAACACAAGTCTAGTAGTATTTATGGTGCTGTATGTGTCCTACCAATACATAACATGGCTTTTATGAAAAATGACACTGCATCTGACGCCTTCACACACCACCCTTGTCCTTTCTGCCCTCCTCCCACCTTTTCTGCACCACTTCTGCTCACTCTATACCTTTAATCTAGTAGCTGCCGCAGAATTTAAACCACATTCGCAGCTCGCCCCGTGCGAATTCAGATTTACGTGCCTGAAATCCTTAAGAGTTCCCCGACGCCTGATGCAAGCCTCCGTCACTGGCCGTGAATCAGCCCGTATGCATTGACGCCACGGCACACCACGCCTGTATATATCACTGTGTGTGTGGCAGACAGTCACACTCTGCGCTTACATAATGTGGCCTAAAAGGAAAAGCTTTGGAAAGTCTGCAGCAGCATTGTACAGCAGCAGCAGCAGCAATAGCAGTAGCAGTAGCAGCAGCAGCAGCGTAGGCAACGGCAATGTCCTTGGATTACCTCTCTCGACTCTGCTTCCTTATTCTTAGCCATCTCCCTCCTCTCTCTTGTTCGACGTCAAGGCTTCACTAACTGTGCTACAGGTGGCGGATGCTTCTGAATCTTCACACATTTTCATTGCCAAAAAGTTCTGTCTTTTATGGAATTGCTGGTTTGTCCTTGAAGTACGGCTGTTCCTTTTTTTTTTTTTTTTGAGGTTAGATTATGTCTTTTTTACTCGTTTGTTTTCAATTTTATTTGGCCTCACTTCATGACTGCTCGTCTTGGCTTAAGTTGTGTTCTGTCCTTTGCCTTGATATTGAGCAAACATTAAAATCGGGTACATTGTAATGTAGTTGTTTGGAGGTGAAGTCAGATGAAGATTTAAAATGAAATTTTGTTTTAATTTCTGCTCTGCTTTAGTAGTATTGTCTTTTTTTGTATGATTCACTTTACTGGCCATTTTTTCCCTGTACATTATTTGCATTTTAGTTCCATATTCTTTTGCTATTCATAAAAAAATAGGCAAGTCATGTTTATCTGTATAGCACAATTCATACGCAGGGCAACTAAAATCATGTTACAAAACAAGAGAAGGGGCAGTACAATCAAAATACACTCGCATACAGAGAGGCCGCAACTTGCTAGCACTATTTTTATTTTTTTCACCTTCTATTTTTAGCATTTTAAAGCGGTTAATCTGTAAACAGCATTGTGCATTTGCGTGAAAACATCTACACACGTTCCCCATTGCGTAACATATCACACATTTTAATCATTTAAAGAAAAGCTTGCGATGCCGTCTTCGGAGATGCTCTGAAAATGCATCCAAACCGCAACCATGTTTTGCTATTTTTCTTAATCCAGATCCTTGTTATGTTGCCTCGCGGTGCACGGCAGGTTTGCCACAATGTTTTCAAACGCAGTCTCCACAATCCATCTACAGCACAGTGGGCTTCCTGCGGTGCTCGTCACGTGTCTGCAGAGGAAACCAGGGTGGCCTAGATTAGATTCAAACATCTATCTAGGGCATGTGTGTCCCTCATACTATCATTGCGGGTGAAGATTACATGCTGGTAGCTGCTCTAAAGCCAGAGTCTGTCGCCAAACGGTTAAAGGCAACCTCCCTTTCATCTCTTGTGTGTTGGCGAGGTATGACGTTTGTGATTAATACGCATCATTTGTGACAGAAAATGAATTAAGCCGTTATTCAAAAGGAGTTACAGTGTCACTATGGCCATAAACGATCATTAAAAAGACACAGCACACAATCAAGAGCTTAATCCTGTGTCGACCAGTCTAAGCCAAAGATTTATATCGCGTATCAAACCGCTGTACATGCCATTAGGGAGTAAGTAATGCTTTGGACCGCCTACTGCTGTGTGTATACCAAACATGCATCAATATTGCCCCCACCTGTCAAATTTCAGGGTAATTGTATAAGTCATCGTGGCATTGACCTTTACGGCAACGACCATTATTTATGAATGATTTGAGAGGCTCACTTGTAATGATGAGTGATGTGCTGCAAACAGATGTCACTGGTGGACTGAAAAGAAACACTGTTATTAGAAGGAACAGGGCAAAGAGAGTGGCTTTTGTATAGATTGATGTTTTCAGTCCTATTTCATTAGAGTCAGGGTCAGGCGTATTTGGACATCGGCACAATTGCCATTTTGTTTGGAATGTTTTGGACCTTCAAAATGTGGGAGGCACACATGCAAATTGTATTTGTAATACCTGCTTATTTCCTTTTGGGTGGTATGTTATTATCATTATAATTAAGCGGCCCAGGCTTTTCTGTGTTGAGTCTGCATGTGTAGCTCTGTGTCTGGGTGGTTTCCTCCATACGCTCTGATTTCCCCTTCCACCCAAAGCATGTGCCACTAGCAGTGATGGGCAGTAGCGTCGCTACTAGCGTAACTAAATTTTTCAGTAGCTTGAGAAAAAGCTATTTTCTCACGGACATGTCTGATGTTCATATAATACAGCATTTTCCCGCAGCCAAAAACAAAGTAGGAAGACAGAACGCTAGTGTGCATGCCTTTGTGACGGCGCATGCGCACACACATGCGTGCACTCACACACATGCGCACACGCACACACATGCGCGCGCACTGCTGTAGGGAGACAGGACGGCAGAGAGCTCAGGAGCCCCGGTTGCGGAGGACTCTCAAACTGTTACCGTGGCCATACCTCCAAAAGTACGTCACTTTAGTCGAGACATATGTTTTCAGAGCCTACTTTGTAATCCCAAGAGAGATAATAAGGTTGTATGACGGTTGTTACGATTGTTTTCCTAAACTGGTCAGACATAGTTCTTAGCACAGTTCACTTGTAAACTTATATATATGTGTT